CTTTTAGGAACAAGAACTCTATCAAAAGGAAGGTTTAGGGGTTAATGAAGTACACTATGTGGATAATCAGGACTGTATAGGTATGTATTATTTTTTTTTTACTCCACTTTTGGGAAATCTGGGAAGATAAAGTGAATGCTTTTACTAGTAAATTTTCTGTGGTCTATGATTAATATTATTGGCTATGAGCGCTTATTTGAAATTCCGGTATTTGAGAGATGTTTTGCTTTTCCAGTATTGCTATAGGAAGTTATTTTTCCTGCAAAGGCATCAAATTTAATGTAGAGAGTTTTCCTAAAATTTCTTCTGTTTACTGTGGTGAGTACTTTTTTTCTTAACAGCTAGCGTGAATAATTGCTTAAGTAATAAAGGGATGTGTTATTTCCCACGAGGAGGTCTGTAGTTTAGGCAGGTTCCAGGTGAGCTTTGACTGGGTTTGGCTCTGCTATTCTTCAGGTCTCTCGTTTCTGTTTTCTGTGCATTGGCAGCACCCTCTGACCGGCTGCCAGTGGGCTTCACAAGTTCCATGTGTCACATCCAGATAATATTGTGCAACATGACAACAGTAGGGTCTGTGTTTTTCTTGTCTTTATCAGTTAAGAAACCTTTGTCACCACCTAGCTCTTGCTCAGTCTTCCTTTTCTTTCCCACTGCATCTATAAAATCAACTGTTGGGTAAGCCTTGTTTTGAAAATCCAATTTGACAATTGCATCAATAACTTCAGTGCCAAATTTAGACAAGATAGTATGATAATAATCATAACAACAATAATAATATTGCTTTACAGTAGTATGACTTTTCAAAGCACTTTCACATCCTATCTGATCCACTCAACATTCCCTGTCACACATTGTATCCTTTCTCAGATCTCCGTGCCTTTGGCTGTGTGGTTTGATATCTTAGCTGGAACCCCTCCCTTTCCATTATCTTTCAGCCCACTCCATCTATCAAAATTCTCTCATTTAAAGCTTAGTTCAGCCTGCTCCCTCCACTCCTTCACCAATGCTAATTGCCCAAGAAGCATCATTTTCTCACCAGTACAGTTAGAATCTTGACTCCTGTTCATATGTTCCGTTAGGTTTTAGAGTCTGTCCCATTTACCTGTTCTTATAGAGTATACTTAAGCAGTTTGCATTTTACAGTTATTTTAGACAAGCAGGAAATTCAAACAACATGAGTGAAAGGAGCATAAAAATGTGCTGTTACTGAAATTTTGCTGGAAAGTATTTCAGGAAATATCTATAAGTAGTTTTAAAAAGCTATGCATGCAAAATCTTCTGTAGTTTTACTTCATTTTGAATGTGGATATCATCTAGAAGAGGTGAAATTTCTGATTCCTTAGCCTCTAGTCCTGAGAAATGAAGTGATTATTTCTTTATGGAGCTGTTTTTCTAAAACCTACATTAAATATATAATGTTACTTTCTAATAAATGCCAGATTTGAAATACAATTTACCTACTGTCTATAGCTTTTGAGAGAATACTTATAGAATCATCTGTTACATTGTTTCTGGCCAGCCCTTGTGATATGTGATGAGTAAATTGTTTACAAGTCTTTAAAATGTTGTTTTTACCCTATCATATTTTGATTTTTCAAAACAGATTTAGTTGAAGCAAAGTTAGTGGGAATATTGGATATTTTGGATGAGGAAAATCGCCTTCCCCAGCCAAGTGATCAACACTTTACATCTGCAGTTCACCAGAAGCACAGAGATCATTTCCGACTCACTGTGAGTTTGCCATTCCAGAATTGATGTATATATATATTTGTTTATGATGATCATCTATCTAATCAAAACCCTTTAGCTAGGTGGAAAGTGTATTTCATCTGTCTTAAAATGTACAAAGATTCACCTCCTATTTTTATGTTCTCTTTTCTGGGTGAAGTGACCATCAATTGCTTTGTTTTGTATCATGAGACCTGTTCATGGTCCAGGGGTTAACCCCCAGCATAACAAGCTGCTACCTGTCTGCACATTTATAAGATTAGCAGTGAAGTTTATGGCTTACAGTCTGACTGGTAGAAGCAATCCATGTTTGATAGTGATTCACCAGTTCATTTTTATGCTTGTTCCTAGGGAATTTTGAATGGAAAATATACTCAGAGAGGGACATAGAAGCTGAAGCAATAAAAGAATTAGCTAAAGGAAAAAACAGACACTGAGAACAGTAGAAATAAATGAGAAGTGCACTTCTAAAAGGGCCAGAACACCTGGTTCCCTGAACTGCTGTTGTGCTTCGATCCTTGTGGCGCTGAATAGCAGGGCTGTTCTCCATGAGGATGGATTGTGTGGCTGTTGAGGTGTTTCTGTGTTCACCTAATTCTGTGTTTAGACTTAACCATCATCAACTGAGGTAATGCAAGCACAACTCCATGCTTGTACCCCGAAGAAACTGACTAGCACAGAGAACTGTGGATGTTACAGTAGTCAGTCCCCCCCTTATTCGTGGTTTCACTTTCCATGGCTTCAGTTACCCGTGGTCAACCACAGTCCAAAAATAATAAATGGAAAATTCCCAAAATAGACAATTTAATAAACAATTCATAAGTCTTAAATTGCCTGCCATTTTGAGTAGCACGATGCAATCTCTCAGCCATCCTGCCTGGGATGTGAATCATCCCTTTGTCCAGCGTATCCACACTGTATACTCCCTAACTCTGAGTAGCCATCTCAGTTATCACCTCCACTGTTATGGTATCACAGTGCTTGTGCTCCAGTAACCTTTATTTTACTAAAAGGCCCCAAAGTGCAAGAGTAGTGATGCTGGCAATTCAGATATGGGAAAGAAGCTGTAACGAGCTTCCTTTAAGTGAAAACGTAAAAGTTCAAAGAAAAAAACTGTATGCTGATGTTGCTAAGATCTATGAGACCAAATCTTCTATTTGTGAAATTGTGAAAAAGGGAAAAAAATTCATGCTAGCTTTGCTGTCACACCAGAAACTGCAAAAGTTATGGCCACAGTGCATGGTAAGTGCTTAAATACAAAGGGCTTTAAATTTGTGGATGGAAAACGTGAAGAGAAAATGTGTTTTGATTGGCAGCAACATGTTGCACCAGAGAGCGTGTACTCTTATGAAGACTTCAGCAAGGGATCTCCTGAAATAAGTGACCACATTCATATAACTTGTATTACAGTATATTGTTATTATTGTTCTATTTCATTATTAGTTATTGTTATTAATCTCTTATTGTGCCTAATTTATAAACTGTATCATAAGTATGTATAGGAACAAACATAATACAGTTTGACCATTGAACAACATGAGTTTGAACTGCGTGGGTTTTTAAAAAATCCGCATATAGGTGGACCCATTCAATTCAAATTTGTTTTGTTCAAGGGCCAACTATATTTTTGATCCATGGTTGGGAATCGGTATATGTGGAGGGTGAATTAAGTTATATGTGGATTTTCACTGGGGGGCAAAGGGTGGATTGGTGCCCCCTAGCCCCCATGTTGTTCAAGGGTCAACTGTATAATAGGGTTTAGTACTATCCATGGTTTCAGGCATCCTCTGGGTGTCTTGGAAGGTATTCCCAGCAAATAAGGGGACTACTGTAATTTCATAAAGATAGGTGCTACCTCATTTTAGAGAACAACAAAGAGAAGAAGGAAGGAAGATGGAAAAGACAGAAAGAATAGCTAGAGTTGCAGATGCCTCCCATGCTGTTTATAGTTTTGAGATAATGTATAACAATCATTGCTTTGACAGATCCACGAGTTTAAGTGAATAATATAACAAGTATTCTTTTGTTTTGAAAGATTTTATTGTGGAATTGGGGGAGGGGAACAGACAAGTTGCTGTCCTTTNAGGGCAATAGATGGGGGAGGGGGGTTGTTACTTTGTGAGGGTGAAAAGAGTAACTATTGCATTGTTCTGTACACCTGAAACTAACAATAAAAATAAATAAATAAATAAATTATGGAACTTTGATAATAAAAAAAAAAAGAAAGAAAACCTCAGTGAGGAGGATATATGGTAGTGCCCTACAGTTGCCTGTTTCTTTGGAGATATTTCCAGGGCCTACAGGAAGACTGATAAAAGCACAATTTGGTGTCCTTAGGTGTAGTTTCCTCCATTTTCCTTTTGTTCTGGAACAGTTCTTTTATGCATGGAGTGTTCCTATAACATTCACTTTAGGAAAGAATTTCATTGTAGGAAATATAAGTTGGAAAATTACTGTTTCGAAGGGATTCAAGTAACAGTCTGGTCTGAATGACACTTAAGGTTACTTCCAAATTTGACATTTTTTTTCTGGTGCTCCCATGGTCCCCAGGCTTACCTTTATGACAGCATTTAGTGTGGTGTTTGGAAATTCTCTTATGGCAGTCCTTCTTCATCACACTATAATTTTCTGGAGGAAAAGAGCTGTGTGTCTGTATCTGCAATATCTAATACTGTTATGCCATGTAGTTACTTATATTAAATAATAGAATTGGACAGCTCAGATTTTAAGATGTAAACATATTTTTCCTAAACAATGTTAAACAAGTTACTGAACTTTCAAATAACCCTGAATTAAACACAATTTCTTTTGCATTTAAGGAAAGTCAAAAGGAAGATTATTCCTCTGAATAATTTTTTTTAATATTTAGCATGTACAGTGAAGTATAAAGTTAAAAGAATCTTGAGCCTCAAGTTCTTTTACTCAATAATAGATTTTTAAAATCTAATTGTAGATAATTCTTTTAGTTCTTCTCTTGTACCATTCTACTTAGCCCCATTTGTCTGTGTCTATTCAAAAATGACCTTTTGTAACTATTTTGTTCTTCACAATGAATATATTTAGATCTCCTTTGATTTTGGATATCTGGCAATATTTTCACAATTATTACTATGAAGAATTTTCATTGATATATCCTTCTTTTATAGGGTACCCCTAAAAGTGGAGCAAGCAAACAATGCCCGTGATGCATTGGCAAAGACTGTCTACAGCCATCTTTTTGATCATGTGGTAAATAGAGTAAATCAATGCTTTCCTTTTGAAACATCAGCTTATTTCATTGGAGTCCTAGATATTGCAGGTTTTGGTAAGTATAGTTTCATTTGTGAATTTGTAGTTAGTTGTTTGACAGTTTTCATTCAGTTTTTCACACATATTCAA